GGCTTGTCACACTCTCATGCCCCGTGCGTGCTTGTTTCCCACGAGGAGCCAGCACTGTGCCTCCTAATAGGAACCAACGCACAGATGAGGCCAAGAGAAGTCTGGCTGGGAATCCTACAAGCCGGGCAGCGCATACAGCTGCGCTGGGCAGTCAGCTCACCCCCAGCACACCTGGGGGGGCAGCCTTGCCACACCTACCCCTTCTTGTCCTTCCTCCCTGGCCTCTGACAGACGCCGCACGCTGACGAAGGAAACCCTTCTTACCTCCATCCTCCTCCACTGTCTCCCTCCTGGCCTGTCACTTCCACAGTGCCCCCCCCCGGGGGCCCTGCTCCCTTTGCACACGGGTCCCACGTCCTGCAGCATCCAGGACCCTCCCCCATGTGTCTGCAGATGCCAAACTCTTCACATTTGCTTAACTTTCTGCTTGTCTTTGTTGGTTAAAACACCAAGACGCAGGGAGGAGTCTCGAGGTGCACGGCCAGCCTGCCCATACACACACACAGGTGTGCATCCATCCTAATCAGTGTGGGTTGACATTCAAAGTCCTGGTATAAAATTGCAGTTTTTCTGGCTGCTATAAAGTGTGCCAGTTTTAAAACTGTGCATTTGTTGCTTGCAAACTTATAAATATGTATAAACCCCATTATAAATAAATTGTGGCTGGCAGATGGCATTTTATCCGCCAGCAGTGATTGCATGGAGTTCTAAATGCTTATTAATCCTCCACTTTTAAAACTCCGAGCATGGACTCTGGGATCTGTGACATGAGATGGTGGGAAAACAGAGTCATAAATTGGACGGGGAAAGCCCTCAGTAAGGGAGGGTTAAGGGCCGGCAGCTCACACCTGATGGTGGTTCTCCAAGTCCACGCTCCCCACCAGCATCGCTCAATTTATTAGAAATGCAAATTCTTGGTTCCTGTGCAGACCTCCAGGGGTGGGGCCCCGGGGGCACCTCGCTGCCCGTCTACTCTGGATCTGTGTAGCCCGGAGGCCTGTCGCCCTGCCGGATCCCCCGCCCCGGGAGTGTGCACAGGTGTGCACACGGCCTGTTTTCTACCTGGGATGGGCCGGTGGCTAAATGCCGCTGGGTAAGCACTGATGTGTGTCTGGCCCCGTTTCCTGCTGTCCCTCGGTGCCATTAGTCTTCCACATCACGGTGACCTGCCCGATCATGCCCTCCTCCTCAGCTTCCTTTCCTTCCCCACCCCTGGGGTATCACCCACAGAATTGACATACAGTAAGACCCTCTTGAGGTCTGCTTCTGAAGGGCCTCAAACAGAAACACTTCCTTGTCGGTGTAAGACTCCCGTCTTTATGCCTTTTGCAAAAAGAACGAGCATAAATGCAAACCCAAGGAGGAGGGAAGAGCTATGTGCCATTTTCCATCAGGGGCTGAGCTTTATACCCAAACTGTAAAGGACCCTAATAAGTCCTGCGCTCTGTCCGAGATTCAGCCACTGTCACCACGGTCTAGCAAGTCACCCGGCCCCAGCTCCCGCACTAAAAAGGGGGTTCTGCAGCAGCACGATCCTAGAATGCTTCCTTGCTTGTTGTCCTCTGGGGGGCCCTGGCACGCCCAGGTTTGCAACACCTTCCTGTAAAGTGGTTTTCCCAATTCATCTCTCCCAGGACCAATTTTTGAACTTTCGCTACAGACCCAGGTTTTATTCTAAAGCTCAGGACCGAGATTTGTCTGCGACACACAGTGACCTAAGTGCAGTATTTCCACAGTCCCCGCCCCTTTGCTATCGGGCTGTCACCACCAGCAGGAAGGTGCAGATGGACCGCAGGTGTGTGAACACGGAGAGGGAGCCCATCACACGTGCTCATGAAGTGTCCCAGGAAGCAACTGTCCTTCCTGTTTCCGTATATTCACCAGCACCTCCGCTCCATCTCGTGGCGGGGGGCGGGGTGCAGGGGGTGGGCCACCGCTCAGAGACACCCAGCAACAAGCGTGAGGCCACGTGTCTCTGGGGGAGGACGCCGGCGCTGCCAGGGGCAGCCTGTGATCTCGTGGGAATCGCCTTCACCTGGGGACTGATTCAGGGAAAGAAGGACCAGGACATTCGTCTCAATGTGTCACTTAAGAGAAGGAGCCACGCGGCATCTGGCAAGCCTGAAAGCAGCGCTCCATCCTTGCACCTGGGCCGTGGTCCACCCACCCACCCCAACACCCGAGATGTGAACACGGGTCGCAGCCACGCGGCCGCTGGGCCCCGTGGCCTCTCGGGTATAAAAGCCTGGGAGAGGCCGCGTCCGCGCAGAGTTGGGGCGGGAGATGGTTGAATGTGTTACCAGAGAGTGCACAGGGCAGTTCAGGGCCTTGAGCATCAGCGCTCGCTGAAACCATGGGTGGGCAGCCCCGCAGGGACCCGCAGGCTCCAGTGGGACGAGAAGGTCATTTGGAAGTCCCGCTCATTCACACGCCGTGGTGTGGGTGGGAGGGGCAGTGGGTGGGGGTCTCTGGGGCCACACCACAGCGGGGCCATCGTGGGCCTGTGGGACCTGCCACGCATGCCCAGCACGCCCAGAGGCCTGGGCAGGAGAGGCAGCAGGCCCGGTGCACCATGGGCAGAGGCAGCAGGCCTCGTGCACCGAGGGCTCCGGGGGGCCGGGCACAGTGAGCAGCGAATGTACCCGGGGATTCGGGGGTCCGGGAACACAGCCCTGCCTGGCAGAGGTGCAGTCCAGGTCCAGGCGAAGGGGGACCCAGGCTGGGCAGGGAGTGGCCGGTCTTTGCCTGGGAATCCTGAGCTCCAGGTGCAGCAGAACCCACCTACCGCGTGGCTTAGAACGGGGGGGGGGCACCATGCCTCAGTTTCTCCCCCTGTGAGTGGGGCTCCCCATGATGCCCATCCCACGGCCTTGAAGGGGAGCTGCAGTGACCTGTGGAGTCCCAACGCGCTTCACACAGCGGAGGGAGGAAGATGAGAGAATGGCAGCCATCTGCTGGGTCTGTTGGGTGCTCCAGCGGCTGCAGGGGTTCCCACTGGCCCTGTTGTGTTGTAAGCAATCCTGGAATCTGAACTTAAAAATACATATTTTGAATTAATATTGAAACAAATGTGATCTCCCCTCAGTATTTCTAATTTTCTAAATTGATTCTCATGCAAAAAAACAGGATATATATTGCTTATCACCACTGAGATAATCACTGACTTCATAGCAGAGAGCTCTAAACCCTGCAGATGACTGTTTCTCATATCCCCAGGAGGGCAAAGAAAGCAGGTGAGCTGTCCAGGGGCTCAGGGTCCCTAACCAGCCTACTTGCCTTTAAACATTAGCATTTGGGGCGTGCCCTTAAGATTACCCAGCTGGGCCCCGCAGGCGGTCCAGAGAAAAGTCATTTTACCCATTTTTTTATATGTGTGGACACTGGCACACAGGGGTGGGACCTCTATGTATGTCTGCAGGGATGCAGGCCTTCAGAGGATGGGGCGCAGGGGGGTTCCCACAGCCGGCCCCCCACTGAACCAGCTGCTGCCCCAGCCCCGTTCAGCTCTCACTGCTTCTGGGTAACATGGAGTGGGGTATCCATACTGTGACTGAAACCAGAACCTCACCAGGAAGAGACGGTGGTCCTACATTAGTTCCAATCCATGGCAGAACATTCTGATTGAATGCCACTGTCTTCTTGGACTCACGGGATCCTCAAAGGATGAAAACTCCTAAGAAGTCCCCACACAGATCTTCGGACCTGCCCAATCCATCCTCACCCACGAGCTCCACCCCATCTACCGTCCTGGACACACACCCACCCCTGAAAACAGAAATGGGGCTCATTTAACATTAGAACTTTGCAGAATCATTACTCATCAGAGTTTTCAAAATCCACCCTTAACTCCTCGTTCCTGAAGCATCGAATTTACTCCTGCCCCATGCCAGCATGCAGAAAGTCCCGCTGCCCTGATCCAGGGCTGCCGCGGGCTGTGGGACGGCACGGGACGGGAGCCTGGGCTGTGGCCCCGCTGACAGGATGCCAACCAACGGGTGAGTCCTTCTCGCTTTTAAAAGGCGGCATCTGTTAAATCACGAGGTAACCTCAACCCAGGTGTTTTTTAAAAGTTGGAAACACTGTCGACCTCCTGACACCAAATGACCCGGTGAGAAATCCTGGGCCCTTTCCAGGGAGCAACTGGGAAATCTGTTGCAGAGACAGCCACTTTACCCACCAACCACTCGAGAAGCAAAACCTCAAACCGATCCCCCAGACGCCCGAGTCCCCTGCCTGAGGCAAACGTGGAGCAGGAACAACGGCCGGTGTGCGAATGTCTCGAGCGCGCACACGTGCATTTTTCTCTGCTGGACGTAACGGGGGGGCAATTGCCTGGCAGCTACCCCAGCAGCCTGCGGTCAGCCTACTGGCTAGCAGGACACAGAAGCCAAGGCTTTGCCCCCACCAGCCGTCCGCACGTACCGGTTTGTCGTTACCCAGATGAGAACGAGGGAAGCATGCTCTCGGTCCCTGAGGCTCACTTTGTGCCACGTCTGGCCGTCAAACAGACCCCTGGACAACAGTGGTCAAGGCGGACAGCATTCCTGTGCTCGGCACCACCCGAAACAGCTGGGGCACCGCCTGCTCCCTAGCGCGTGAGCACACAGGTGCGAGGCCGACAGCAGGGGAGGCAGCATCACCACGGAAGGGGCGCCGGCGACGCGGAGTGGCGGGCACCGGGACCAACCGTTCATGGAGCAATACGTGCAGAGCTAAACCGCTCTGGGGAGCATCCTGCCTTCTTCTGCTACAGCTCCACGGTGATTTCCAGCCCTCCTGCTTGCTTCTCTTCCCCGAGTGGGGCTTACCAGGTAAAACCTGCAGGTAACACCTTCCTAGTGGAATTTCTCAGTAGAATGGGTCAGCTGAATTAAATTTTCGCCCGGACAACTACAGTCAAGCTTTTTTTTCCCATTAAAAACATACAGCACAGAACGTTAGTCTTACATCTTTCTTAGTCTTAAAAAATATAAATATAGAGGGATAATTTGTACAGGATGTATAGGTATGTACACCTTTAATATGCACATGAGAAAATCAGAACAAGTTTATGAAACTTGCACTTGACGGACACCTTCCTCCTGGGGATTTGGACGAGGCTCTGAGCCTGCGGGCAGTGGCCCGAGCTTCCGGAGTCCCCATGCCCGTCTCCCGGGAAGACCCAGGGCTCCTGAGCACTGGCGTGGGGTCAGGACAGGGTGGCTGGCGGGTCACAGGGTCTTCTCCACCGGCTGCTGGAGGCAGAGCTCGCTTCCGGCCGAGACGATGGGCAGGCTGTTCTCCAGGTGGTGGTTGATGAGGTGGCTGATGCTGTCAAAGACCCTGTCCTTCGTCCGGATCTGGGAGAGACACAGAGGGCAGGAACGCGTGACACACAGGCAGACGAGAGAGAACACGTGTTCGGAGCCAGCCAGACCACAGGGACCCGAGCGGCGCCTCCCCGGGGCCCCCACACTCTCAGAGACACATCTGCCGGGTCCCACCACTTCCGTCTGTTCACTGGGCCTGTGCCCTGGTCCCTGAGCTGCTACACTCCCAGTGTAGACCACCCTTGAAGAAGGCAGATGAGGCCTGGCCCAGAGCAATCTCCCAGGCTGCTCTGGATACCATCCCCCTCGCGGCCAGTTCTTTTGGCGGGGGGTGAGAGATGGGGCAGGGGGCAGGTGCGTGGCTACACCTGCTGGCCCTCCAGGCCCTTAGATGACCCTCATGATGGCTCTGGGATGCCCTGGGGGCCTGGCCTCTCTCTCCAGCCTTATTGGTAGAGGCCATCCCTGCCCGGGGGCAATCAGCTCTCCCCACCTTTCCCTCAGGGACTCTGAGGGCGCTTCTGTTCTCCTCCTCCCTTATCTGTCCCAGTATTCTCACTCCCACCCCTAATGTGACCCTCTTGCCTCTCCCTCTCTACCAACCCACCAATGGGATGTCTATCTCTGGGCCTTCAGCCCTGACCTCATTCCCACCCCCAGTCTATACTCCAGGTGGGCCCATCGAAGCCCCCAGGCCATCTGCTCTGGGCTCTACCAACAAAGGCAATAGCAGAAGCTTTGGAATGAGGATGTTTTCCTCTCCTGGGGTCCCACTCTGAGGCAGGCCCCCATTGCCACCAGTCTCTGCAAGCACCCAAGGGGCAGGGACCCTCTGGTCCATGGGGCTCCCAACTCCTGGGCATTGAGCCTCATGGAGGAGGCAACCTGATGGGCACGTTCAGAAAGAAATATTTTCGCAAGACTTTTAGGCATTTTTTTCATTGAGGTTCTTTAATCTTCCCAAGTTCCTTAGAATTCCCGTCCTAGAAAGACCCCAGGGTGACATGGGCAGGCCCCTTTCTTAGGGGTGAGGGACACTAAGAACTCAGCTTGAGACTACTGTTGGGGTGTTGTCTTGATGTTGACTTCTTTTTCCCACTTTGTAGCAATTAATACTCATTTAAGTTCTGGGGCAACAGGGGTGAATGAGGATTTATGATGAGAAGTGTCTGGGACAGTAGCGTCCACCTGGGCTCACATCCAAACCACCTGAGTGCGTTCAGTAAGCCCCATGCCCAGGCCAACTCCACCAGGAGCTCAGGGTGGGGCTCGGCCACCAGGGCGTTTCACAAAAACCCTGTGATTCCAACATGCCGCCCAAGCTGAGAGCTCACTGCTCAGCATCTTTGGAGTGTGTAGGCTGGCCGCCATAAACACACACACATGCAAATAAAGGCACGCGGAAGAGGTAAGTGATATAAATTTGCTGCCTAAAGAAGTAGGCCAGTTTACTCTATTCCCATAAATACTTGCTGAAACTCCAGTCTGGCTCCTGCCCAGAGAACCTGCAGCCCACAGAGCTATCTGTATGGACGGAACCCCCTGCTATGTGGTTCAGAAAAGAAGAAAGATCTGAAATCAATAATCTAAGCTTTAACTTCGGAAACTAGAGAAAGAATAAAAAAAAAATTAGAGTAGAAACCAATGGCATTGGAAACAGGAATCAATAGAGAAATCGATGATCTCAAAGCTGGTTCTTCAAAAAGATAAATAAAAATTAATAAGCCTCCAGCCAGGCTAAGAAAAAAATGAGAGAGGACACAAATTACTAATATCAGAAATGAAAGAAGGGCCATCACTATGGATCTTGTGGACATTAAAAGGATAATAAAGGAATATTAGAAACAACTCTAGGCCCACAAATTTGGCAACCCAGATAAAAATAGGTCCATTTCCTGAAAGACACAACCTCCTAAAACTCTTAGAAGAAGAAAGAGACGGTCTGAATAAGCCTAGGTGTATTTTAAAAACTGATCAGTCATTGATAATCTGCCAACACAGAAAGCACTAGGCTTAGATGGGTTCATTGGTGAATTCTACCGAACACTTAAAGAAGAAATTGTACCAAGTCCCTACAATCTCACTCAGAAGACAGAAGCAGAAGGAATACTACTTAACTCACTCTTTGAGGCCAGTATTGCTCTAATATCAAAAGCAGACAAAGACACTACAGGAAAAGAGAACTACAGGCCAATATCTCTTATGAACACAGATGCAAAGATCCTCAACAAAAAATTAGCAAATTGAATCCAACAATGTACAGAAAGAATTACACACCATGACCAAGTGGGATGTGTCCTGGGTGTGCAAGGCTGCTTCCACATTCTGAAATCAATTAACGTACTCCAACACATCATTAGGCCTAAAGACAAAAAAACTGCATGATCAAATCAATAGATACAGAAAAGGCATTTAACAAAATTCAACCGATTCCTGGTAAAAACTCTCAATATACCAGGAATACAGGGGGAACTTCCTCCACTTGATAAAGACATCTACAAAAATCCTACCACTAACATCCTCCTTCATGAAAAGAAACTTGAACAAGGCCAGGATGTCTGGTCTCACACTCCTTTTCAACACCACAGTGGAAGTCCTAGGTATACAATAAGACAAAAAAAGGAAATAAAAGCAAAGATAGCATTTTCAACAAATAGTGCTAGAATAACTGGACATCCACATGCAAAAAAAAAAAAGAAAAGAAAAGAAAAGAAAAAGAGCCTAGACCAGACCTCACACCCTTCACAAAAACGAACTCAAAATGGATCACAGACCTAAATGTAAAATGCAAAATTACAGAACTCCTGGGGTGCCTGGGTGGCTCAGTCGGTTAAGCATCTGCCCTCAGCTCAGGTCATGATCCCAGTGTACTGGGATCGAGCCCCACATCGGGCTCCTTGCCCTGCAGGGAGCCCGCTTCTCCCTCTCCTCTCCCCTTGTACTCTCTCACAGTCTCTCCTTCTCTCTCTCTCAAATAAGTAAATAAAATCTTTAAAAAAAACCCTACAGAACTCCTACAAGATAACACAGGGGAAAGTCTAGATGACCGTGGGTTTGGTGATGACCTTTTGGATATGGCATCAAAGGCCTGATTCATGAATGAAAGAAATAATAAGCTGAACTTTATTAAAATTAAAAACTTTTGCCCCACAAGTGACACAGTCAAGAGAGTGAGAAGACCACAGACTGAGAGAAGATATTCACAAAAGACACATCTCATGAGCTGGTATCCAAAACATACAAAGAAATCTTAACACTAACAATGAGAAAACAAACAACCAGATCTCACCAAAGAAGATGTACAGATGGCAAATAAGCACATGGAAAGATGCTCTGCATCACCCGTCATCAGAGAAACACAAATTAAAATGAGACACCACTACACACCTATTAGAATGGCCAAAATCCAGAACACTGACCACCCCACATGCTGGTGGGGATGTGCGGCAGGAGGAGCTCTCCTCACTGCTGGTGGGACTTGCCACTTTGGAAGATGGTTTGGTGGTTTCTTATAAAATTAAACATGTGTGAGGAGGAAGGTGTTGGTGGCTGAGGCTCGGGGGCAGGGCGAGCCATGGGAAGGAGTCTACAGGGCAGTGGGCAAGGGGGTGGAGCCCATACTTTCTGCTTTAGGCATGGTGGGTTCGAGTTGCCTGGGGAACATTTAAAGTAGGTGCCCGGCAGTTAGAAATACCATTTAGAGATTGTACATTAACAAGTACACTCCACCAATGACAGAATGATTATATCTGTTCTCTTCCAAAAGGTCACACCAGCTCGGGCAAAGCCATCCGACAGAGATGCTTCCTAATTAAAATCTGGTTCCATTGGAACAGGCTGCACACTCAGACCTGCTGCCCTTTGTCCAATGTCTCAGCTTGGGCTGGATCCACTGGTAGACCCTCCACCCCCAGAGGATCCAGCCCAAATACAACTAGCCCAAGTGGGATATAGACCCACCTAGCCACATTGCCTGGCCTCCCCCAGGTTTGAAATTAAGGTGAAGTTCAGGTCCTTCCTAGACCCAGTGGACACAGTGCCAGAGAATGCCAGGCTCACATCAGCCCCCAGGGGCTGCAATGTCAAGAATCAACCTTGCAACCTTGTATGCCAATTGCTTACATCCTTCCAATCAATACCTCATCCCACATGAGCACTCATTTTCCCCAACAGCAGGAGGAAAATTTAGAAACTCACAAATAACTTAACCTCCCTTAAGACACTAAAAAAAGGAAGCACATTAACCCTGAAGCAAGCAGGAAAAAGGACACCATAAAGATTAAAGCAGAGATAAATAGAGAATAGGAATCACAGGAAATCATTGAAACCAAAAGCTAGTTCTTTGAAAAGACCAACAAATTTGACAAAGTTGGAGGACCCACACTTCCTGATTCCAAAACTGATTACAAAGCTACAGTCATCAAAGCAGTGTGGAATGGATATAAAGATTGGCATATAAGCCAGTGGAAAAGAACAGAGAGGCTTAGAAATGAACGCTGGCATATATGGTCAAGTGATTTTTGACTGCAGTGCCAGGACCATTCAATAGGAAAGGGACAATCTTTTCAACAAATGGAGCTGGGAAGACTAGATCCACATACGAAAGAATGAAGTACCCAGAGCTAATGCCACATGCAAAAATTAACTCAAAATGGATCAAAAACCTAAATGTAAGACCTAATATTCTTAGAAGAAAACATGGGGCAAAAGCTTCAAGACACTGAATTTCCAGTGGTTTCTTAGATATGGTACCAAACACATAGGCAGCAAAAGAAAAGCCAGACAAATTGGGTATCATGAAAATCATAAAGTTTTGTGCATTAAAAGAACTATCAACAGAATAAAAAGGTAACCCACAGAATGGGGGGATAAATTTGTAAATTGTGCATCTCGTCTAATAAAGGATTAATATCCAGAATATATAAAGTTCTCCTAAAACTCAACAATGAAAAACAAACAACCTGATTCAAAAATGGGCAAAGAACTTGAATTGACATTTCTTCAAAGAAGATCTACATATGATCAACAAG